AATCCCTTAGTCTGTTACCTATGCAGCATGCTAACTTGTTTTGCTGGTGGTATTTTGGCAAATTTTCTGCTTGGAGCACCCGTGATGCAGCCATTTGCAAATACTCAAGGAGTTATTGCAGCTACCATTGTCTGGTACGTGACATGTTTTCCTTTTTAATTCAAGGTCAAAATTTTAGACCAATTATTTTAATAATAAACACACACATATGACAAGCAGTCGGCCAACAGATTTCATCCACAATCTTTGCGAGTGTTTGCAATGCCAATGCTATAAACTAAAAATAACTAATTATCACACTGTTGATATTTCCTTTCAGGTACCTTGTATTCTACTCACCTGGCGATTTCTTCTACAAGCTCATTGTATCCACACCAGGCAAGTTGGTGGTGATATCTCTGAAGGAGCTGGCTAGAGCTCGCAAGATATCTATGGGCATTAAGCAATCCCATGCTCTCTACCCTGATGCTATCTTCATAATGATCATGGTTGGAGCTGCTAAAGGTTAGTAAGAAGTCGCATCGTGAAAAATGATAAACTATACCACACATCTTTCTGAGAAATTAAATATTATTGAACACATGCATATCATCTATTATCATTCATCAATCGCTTACACTCTTGTCATAGCCGTGAGAATTTCCCCCCACCCCCACCTCAGTCATTGACACTGGACCCCATCAGGCAAATCCTAATTATGTTCTTGCACAAAAATAAAATAAAAATCTGGTTGGTTTCAATGATTTGTTATTTCCTTTTTTAAATATTTAGCTAATGGCAGCAGTTTAATGAAGAATTTTGAACGGCTTCTGCGTGGAACATGGAACCCTAGTACAAATGAACTTATTTTACCATCATTGTAAGTCTGTTTTCGTATTTGTTACAAAACTCATTAGGCAAAAATAAAGTTTGTACTGTATATAACGTTTTGCCTTTAGCATCTACGATAATTTTGCCTTAGAATTTACACTTGTTTCTTTTTTATCATCTGTTATGCGTGAAACAGAATTGTTAACTTGCACTAAATATTACTTTACTGTATAATAAAACTGAAATATGCAATATTATAAATTTTACTATTACAGTTGAACTTGCCTAAGTCAAATCCAAAATGTTATGAAAAATTGTTCAACTTAGATAAAATTTGACTTACAAGTTGTTAATTAATGGAAAACACAACAATTTGGCATGCAAAAAAGTTTGACTTAGAAATTATTCGAGTTAGGCAAATTTGATTTTTTACCAATTCTATGTATGAAGATTTTTATAAATTTGCTGAGCTTTATTTTTTCTGTTCCTAGCACACTGAAGGCATCAATCATTGGAAGCAGTCTATTGGTATTGCAGCACCAGGGCTATATACCAATTGACTACAACATTCTCATGATGTGCATCTCCCTTTCTACAATGAGCTTCAAAATCGCTGTCCTGTTTTTCGACGTACACGATCCATTCAACATCATAGAAGATTACACAAAGCCAACAGTATTCGGAAAGAATGAAGTTCCCAAAAAGGTGAAGAAATCAAAAGGGGAGTGAATGATGACTGGATAAAATACGTCCATATTGCCGTCCAGGTTTTAGTGGATTGGAGTCCGTTCAGATTTATCAACATTTTGATGAATGCAAAACAGAATATGCATTGTGGAGTATATTACTAAAGTACTAATAAATGTAGTATGAGTGCAATAAAGACAAACACAGTTATTTGCTCATCTTTATGCTGCAGTGAAAGGTAACTTGATAAGCATGATGAAAATAAAACAGTTCATTTTCCACAAAATACAAACAGTATTAAGATGTATCGTAAATGCTTGAATAAGCACCTCTATTGAAAAAGTGCAGCTCTTGAAGAAGCGTTGCTGTGCTTAATCAAGAGTACTTTATTACCCTCTGTGAAATAAGACACTTTGAGAAACAGGGTTTTAAATACAACGTATACAGTGTTAAACTGCATAAATAACACAATGGAGACATAAGTGGCCTTATAAACGTTTATTTACGATGACGTGGGAGCTATGATAGGCCTACCGAACTACAGGGATAGGCGAGATAGGTGACATGGGAACGGGCATGAAAACCGCAATGCCAATGTGTTTTATAAGCACTGCACCGAAAATTTTATAAGCGCCGGGGCTCTTATTCAAGCATTTACGGTACATCACATTATTTCAATAGTATGCTTTGTAAAATAATGCAAGCCACATTATGGGATTCAGTATTTCATTAAAGGTATAAAATGGGTTTCAAGTGCACGAAGGCACAACTGCACTTGTAATTCCATAATCACAAATACGTCCTAATCATAGGTGCTTATACTAAGACAATCACATTCTTAAATAAATATTTGATGATGCTTATGTAGTAAAAGTTTTCTTAGGTTTTAGTTGAAGTCTTAAGCTCCGTTCACACTGACTTGTTTGATGAATTTTATTGTGTGAATTGCCCATATATGGGCATAATGATGTCATTTGAATATATCAATGTTAGTTTTAACTAGATCTTTAGAATTGCCATGTCATAATGATTGGTCTGTATTATTTAGTGTCTTGATTTGCACTGATGGTCTAATATGCTGATGTTTTGATATTAATATTTTAATAACATTATTAAACAAATTATATTTAGGTGAAATTTAAAATTTGTTTTAATTACTAAACATGTTATCTTTTGCACCTGCATTACAATTTTGTGACACACTGTGTAAGAGGGAACTGTCCTAGAGGCCTTATCACTGTGGTTTATGGTGTAGAATAGGGTTATCAACACCTTATAAAACTAGGCTGTGAACCAAACCAAAAAACCAAAGAAAATCACCAAAAAAATAGACAGTAATGGCAGGGTCAAGTCAAAATGCATCAGAGATGTGGTTTGTGCTAATAACTAAGTTTGAATCTAACTACTGTAGTGAAATATAGCAGTGGCAAATCTGTTTACAATACGTATAAATAATGTCTGGTTGATTTTGAGAGAAGACAAAATTTCGAGGTTATAGAGATGTGGTTAAACTGTTGCTGAGGAAGCAACAGTGTATCCCCATCATAAATGTTTTTGGCAGGACAACTCAATTAAAAAAAGTTTCAGATTGACTCTCTTTGTTTTTTACCGTGAGAATACTATCTCAATTTATTTACAAAATGAATAAATGGGTTGTTCAAATAATTTGTGTATTTAGTATTTGTACAGCAGTCAAAAACCATAGATAAAAACTATGCTTGATATACAGTATGTTCAATTAAGTGCCGCTCTTGAATAAGCGCCACACCTAACGGCTTAGAATCACTTTTGGATAAGAGCCACAGCATTTGTTAGATTTCATCATTTGCAGAATTGAAATTCATCAGCAGAAACTGCCCAAGAGTCTAAAATAGATACTAGTGGTATACAGTTATGGTATAAATTATAATCAGTTAGCATCACTGTAAAGATAAGCACATATCATCGGTTCACGATAGTGCTACTTGAAGTACATTGTTTAAAAGCAATGCAGGTACAATACATCAGTTAATAGTAGCCTTTTGATATCAAATAATGAACTAGGTACATATTTCTTCCTGTTAGTACAGAATTCAAACAGATGTGGTTTTCACATGGTCATATCCATTCATCAACATCTGTAGGAACTGGTATCTGACTGGTAAAATTGTCAGTGGCATCCAGTGGGTGACAGAAGGGGGTGCTCACTCCCAACCCTGCCATCAGTCAAAAAATCTCCAACCAAGTGTAGTCCAAAGATTCCCAGGGGAACACTTCCTTGACCACCAAAACAGATGAGGGAACACCTCAAACCTGCCCCATTCAGACATGTTCTATTTTCTAGATCAGCCACCGAAGACTTATCACCAATTATCACATACAGGTGAAATTGAAGGGCCAACATATTTACATCAAGAAGTCTGGTTTATTGCTTATAGGTCTTCCTGTGATTCCTCTAACGTGTAATAGCAGTGTTGTTGGTATGGCCTTTGTAATGGGTGTGCTAAAAACATTGCCATTTTGTCATGCAGTTGAGTTATGTTTTTGCCAACTTCATTAATGTAAGAACGGTTCTGCTCATCCAAATCAAGAAACACATCGTACACTTCCTGTTAAAAGGAAATAAATTCAACTTTTACATAAAACTAACACTCCACAGGAAGGTTGTAGGCCCAATAGGAGTTCACCATTATTGTGCTAGCACCACAGAGTTAAAACACAGCTGTGTGTGTGTGTGTACCAGACAAGTAGATTCAGCCAATCAAGATACACTAAAGCATCATTTTCAATGGCGCCCTCAATTTACACATGAAAGTTTTGAGTACAGCTTAGTTACCGTATGTTGAAGCTCGAGCATTAAAAGTGTAGCTTACACGATATTGAATTTCATTAATCAGTACCTTATTTTGAAATATGATACTCTTCTTGGCCTCTTTCTGGCTACGCTAGTTTAATAATTTATTAATATAAATAATGATAATGATCTTATTTATGGTTGTAATATGTATACTAACCCTGAAGGTGGTGCTTTTCTATGGCAGCCATCTTGTATGGTACACATTCACTCTACATTGCTCTATGGTTAGCCATGAATTTCAAATATGATGACCCTTTGAACACATTAAATTTTATCCCATCATATTCTTTTGTACATTCATAATATATGACAGATATATTTGTCCCTAACAGGGCCGTCGGAACCGCACCGGCTTTGGCCGGACCACTTTTCCTCAATCCTATCACAGGTCTCCCTCCATACCACCAATTAAAAATCCTTTTTGGGACCAGGGTTTTAGTGGTCTTCAGCAGCTTTGGTCTCTAATTTGAATCAATATAATTAAAGACCGGCTTTAAAAGTAAAAAATGTTGGATTTTATATGATATTTTAAGCATGTTATAACTCTCATTTTACTGTTTAACCCTAACTGGCTTTTTTGCTTGTTTTTGCCCAAATATTTTTTTCATTAGCAACATATATTTCACTTTTCACCATCCTTGGTCCTATATGTAAAATGGAATGATTGCTTTACCTTGCACTTATTTTCATCAGTTGGTGTTTCATGAATATAAAACACATCCATAAAGAAATAAGGAGACTTCAAGAAATGTTCACATACCTAATTTAAGGCAATAAAAGATCCAAGACATTATTATACTTCTTGGTTGGTCCTCATCTATGCCTTGTATTAAGTGCGAATATGATAAAATAAATGTTTAATGATTTGACTTGATACTAAAAGACACGAGTGAAGTAATAATTGGTAAGATAGACAAAATAAAATCAACATTAATATCAATGTTAGGAAAGAGCTCACTATATTTGTGAGATGTTGTGACAACATTAGTCTTAATTATCCTAATTTGCCATGGCAGATGTTGCTAATGAATGAAAAAATATAATGTAATATTTTGGGAACATGATAAGAATGATTTTCAATAAACTATGTGAATCATTATGATTTCATTGATACAGATATGAAGAACTTACTTGTCTGTTGGCAGCAAATGTGGGAATACACTTTGAACGTCCATATACCATGATTGTCCTTATTATGTACGGAGGTGGAAGAGATTCAATATCGCCCTCTACAGGTGGTAACACTACATTTTGATACCTGTTGAATCAATTTTGAACACACATTAAATGATTATGAAGTATAAAATTATGTTATGTACTTTATGTTTTCTTTGTTGTCTATTTGATCTTCCAGAAATATAATTTGTACTATATTGAATTTGAAATAGTGATGCCTTCCAGTAAAACAAATTACAGACCCTACAAATGAACATATACTGTAGTTTGAGTTATGTGTCAAAGGATGGAAATAGAAACCTGTAGCCTCACCCATTCTCTAGTAAACTGTTCACTAATTAGAGTTTTGTTATTTACAGTATTGGGTACTTTGGATTGGATTTATTCAGTGTAAACACCAAGGATGGCCCACGAAAGTCTAGAAGAAGAGTTATTTCCAGTGGGGTCCTTCTGGTGGTGATTGAGCAGTACACCGGGAGACAATCCCCTACTCTTTTCCGAAGAGTGTATTGCGTTCTTTAACATGCACATGGGCCATAATGCACACAGGACCAACGACTTAACGTCTCATCCGAAAGAGGGTGCGCTATTGTAACTTATATTTCATTGAACCGGGGACCTAGAGATCTTCACGGATCAGAGCACATACAGTGGCTACCACCAGATTAGCCGACTGAGCTAAGCTGCTCCCTCTGAGCTAAGCTGCTCTCTCATAAATTTTAAGTTTACATGCATTGTACTTGGTTAAATTATCAATCCAGCAGTTCTACAGTTATTAATCAAATAAAGACTAAACTAGACTGCTTAGAGATCAAATTGTTGAGGTAAAAAGGTGAAAATAGTATTTGAATAGATATATTTACAGGACTTCAAACAATGATGTTAAGTCAAATTCCTCACAATCTGGTTTTTCTAAGTCAAGGTCATAGAGGTCCCCGATAATATCATTGAGGTCATTCGTGAAATCCTGAAACTGAAAAGAAAGACAATATATTCAAAGAAACCATGGAGGAATAAAAAACCATGAAGAAACCAAGTATAATATAAATATTAAAGTTAAGTAAAAGTAATTTAAATACCTTAAATCATGGAAGCAGTTTGTAAATTGTAATAAACTTTTTTTTAATATGCAAACAAACAAAATTGTTTTTTAATAAGAGAAAGAAACTACGTAATCTTACCCATACTGCTTTCTCTTGAAGTAAAACTAATGCAAACTCGTGTTTGGGGTTTATTGAGTTTTTCGTTTGGATGAAGACATTTAGAACACTCCTTATTAATGCTGATGGGTTATAGGGTGTCCTGAAATGTAAAAAAAATTTTAATTGAAATAAAGTCTAATTGACAAGACAAATTAACATAAATAAAACACACTATAGACAAATTAATATTGAATATCTTAGTTTTTAGTGGCTATCTTATTTCGGCCAGGGTGTTGCGCATATCAGGCTTCATCCTTCAAAAAGGTTTTACTTGATGGTTAGTGGAGGGTGATGGTTATGATATTTCATACCAGCTACAATGCAAGACTATTCAATAGAGAGTTTCTTTCCTTCAATGATATAGCATGAATGTTTGTCCAAACATGCTGACCTATCAGAACTTTAATGGATATACAGTCTGTAAAACCAAAACCCTAGCTACTGTAAATACAATTGAATACCTTGTTTTTATAAATTATTCAATAACTGGGGGTCATAATTTCAAGGTTGTTAAACAACTCCCTGACAGAACTATGCATATAAAGCACTTTTTCTCTTAAATTATTGAAAAGTTATAGTTAATGTCCAAACTGGAAAAAACACCTCAACCTTCATGATTAATATAAAAAAAACGGTCAAAGAAGTGAAGACTCAAAAAATCAAGTAATAAAGAACATCATCTCTACAACAATTTAAACAAATTTAAATAAATTAAAATTAAATGACTGAAAATTTAAACTTACCCATCTCTTCCAATAAACTCTACTCTATCAACCTCTGGTGACAGATCAAAGCAAATAACCTGGAATAAAGAAAAACATTTCCACATAAAAGTACTACTGGCTTAGGGTTAGGGGTCCATATCTAACCTTACTAAGTACCACTGGACTGGACTTACTGGTACTTTTGAGCTACAAGGCTACCTACCCCTATCCTCTCTAGGCTTAGGCCCTAGTGTAGCCTAGGCCTAGGCTAATATATGTACTGTCTGTAGCCGTAGGCCTATAACCAGGCCTAGGATACTTTTTTAAAGCACAATTTTACTCACAATTTTCTCTTTACAATTTATTTTTGGTAATTGTGGACCAAATGAGAACTCTGCTTGATGCACATCGACCTCCTTTGATTCGTCTACTTGTTGATGCAGCGTATTACTAGGCCTAGGTTCGACACTCTCATTATCATCATCTCCAGCTCTATCCACTGTGCTAGGCAAATTCTCAACGGCAACGAAAGGGTTCAGCCCTGACGATTCAGTGGTGGTCTGTGGCTGCACAGCTTTACTACTGTTTCCTGCTTCGCTGCCTAGGCCTTGCCCTTGGGAAGAATATTCCACATTGTTGTCCGTTTTATCCGATTTTTCTGTACCCCTTTCATTCGTTGAAAAAGAGGTAAAATGATCACCCGGTTCGGAGGTTCTTTGCTGTTTGTTATCTGCTGTTTTTAACTCTGGAGAAAAAGGGTTTTTACTAGTTTTGTCAGACATACTCGCGATGGAGCGGCGGACAACGGCGGCGGTGTGGAGCTCGAGCAGTTTGATTTTGAAAAGCGCCACCACAAAAGTAGCTGGACGTGGACGTCACGAACAACATCACATGCATCATGCAGATTAGTACGGCAGCTTAGGGCCACATTTGGACTTAATGTGGACGTTCCGGACAAAAGCACCAATTTTTTTTTTACATGCTCCTTATGGTCATAGCATTCAATTTTTGGTAGGAACCACCTCATCCGAGGTCATTATGGCGGCCATCTTGGATTTCAAAATGGCCGCCTAATAAAACCTATGTTTATCTAT